GGACCTCGGCATCACCTACCAACGGGGATCGGGGTTAGGGCTTGCCGTGTACGTAGACGCTAGCTACGCCGAGACGGAGGATAAGCGTTCGGTGTCAGGGAAGCGACGACGGTTGGAGGTACCGTAGTCAGCCATGGTAGCAAGACACAGAGCATCGTGTCTCTGTCTTCGACGGAAGCCGAGTACATTGCTGCCGGGGAGGGCGTCAAGGAGGCGTTGTTTGTGCGTGCTGTGCTTTCGTTTGTTGCCCCAGAGACCAGTGGTAGCAGCATCCAGGTCCTTGAGGACAACCAGGGGGCCATAGCGTTGGTGCATGGTAATATATGGAGGGGAAACCCGGCGTCCGGATGTTCGTGGGTCTGCAAACATTGGTGTTGGATACATGTGCCGGATGATTTGGTGTCACGCAGACTGGTAAGATTGCCATTTGNCAGCATCCAGGTCCTTGAGGACAACCAGGGGGCCATAGCGTTGGTGCATGGTAATATATGGAGGGGAAACCCGGCGTCCGGATGTTCGTGGGTCTGCAAACATTGGTGTTGGATACATGTGCCGGATGATTTGGTGTCACGCAGACTGGTAAGATTGCCATTCACCAGCGCTTCTTCTGCCACGTCCAGTGCTGTGGCGTCCGCAGGCGCCCCCCCCGCCGGCACTTCCACCACGAGCACCGCCTCCTCGGTCGGGCACTTGCTCTTGTCGTGCCCGTAGCCCTTGCATGTCTCACATCGCACGGGCTTGCTCTCGGTGCAGTTGGCCACCTGGTGGCCCTTCTTGTCGCACCGGAAACAGCGACCGCGTATGCTACCCGCATCATGGTCGCCGCCTCCGCTGCCGCCACCAGCCGGGGCTGTCTCTGATCTTTGGTGAACATTGACAGCTATGTACGCACCCTGAGAGCTGCATGCAACAAGCAGGTGGAATCATATTTCGATTGTTACATTTTCTACGGTGCCTACGATATCCACACCCACCCTTGTTTTCTCTTGCCCATCGCTTGAACGACCGCACCCACAGAGCTTCAAGAGCATCCTGCCTACGGGCGGGCCGAAGGACAAGCTGCGGATAATCCTCAAGGCTAAGCCGGCTGCTACTGCTACCACCGTGCCTCGGACAAAGTCAATCGTGACGTCCTCAACATGAATAGCGGCAATGATGTGTTGTGGGCTGCGGTCTTTGAGACGTCGACCTGGTCGTGAGAGTTTCGGGAGGCTTGGAATGCTGCCTGCGTTTTTGTTGGTTCGAAGGTTGCTTTTGACTCGTCCTGCAGGAACGATGCGCGGGAATTGGCAAGCGCCGGACAAGAAGTAGGTCGACGGCGCCCCTCAGTCAATAAACGGTGCCCCCATCAATCGACGGTGCTCCTTCCTTCATTAATAGGCGGCGCCCGTTCAACCAAGAACATATCATATATTGTTGCCCGTCGGATCAAAATGAAGTTTGTTAGTTTCTGCCGGCGGCCGGCCGGATCAACCCCGACGGACAAGCAGGTTGGGGAAGCGAGGGGGCAGGGAGTGTCAATTGTGGCTACTCACGTGGTATCGGATGCTTTGCGTGACTGCTGTGTCTTCAGTGATTTCGCTCAGTGCCCTGTGGTGTTTTTGGCATGGGTTCGGCTGACGTCATGGTGTGGCTGGGGTTGTTGAGTTTGCATGAGTTGCTTGTCAACTGCAAAGCCCTCTAGAACGAGTGTGTCGACTACGTAGAGGTGCGAGAATATCTTGTTATTCAGGAGGGAAAGATTGACCCAGGCGAGTTAGTCTGCACTCGTTGAGGACTAGAGACTGGAGAACAACCTACCTACGGTAGCCGCGGGGGGATTATCCCCAAAGCTTCTCCAACACATATGTATGAAAAGGTCAGTCGTTTTCACGTGTAACTGTACTCATATGAATGCATGGAAGCACCGCGTTTGGTGCCCAGCAGACAGACTACCGAAATTGAGAAAGAATAGAACAAGAGAGCATTTAAATTGGGGGAGATAACTTGGGCCCGCGATTATTTCCGTCTGCGCTGAACGTCGGTATTGTGTTGGATGCCAACAGCAGGTTGGGTTTGACGATATCGGTAGGTCGAGACGAGACCTTCGCTGGGCCCCGGCGTATCAGCTTGGAAGAAAAATATGTTTGGTTCCTGCATGAGAGCGGGTGCCGATGGGTGCTGTCGCGGTCTCGCTATTTGCCAGTGAGATTCGGCAGCAGGAACACCAGGCAAACTCGTTGTTGTTCTTGTTGCCTTGACATTAAATACCATTCCGGTCATTGCTCAGTGGTACTTCTAATGGCACTGGTACCGGTGCACCTGACGCAGGCGCCTTCCGTGGCAATAGGTCGACTACCGAACAGGGGTACCCACGCACACACTACTCCAGATAAACAAAGCAACAAAACAGGATCCTGAAAACAATCACGGACGGACGCGATGATGATAGAGCACAACAGAAAACAAAAGGAAATACGAAAGACCGATCCAGCCAGAAGTCAGTGGCGACACATTGGGCAGAATGAGGTGTACGAAAAATACGGAAAATAGTAAATAAATAGCTCGAGCCCGTCGTTCCCGCTCGGCACGCGATGCCACCAAAAGTATATCTACAATATTATGCAATGATCCGACCAGACAACACCAAAAATGAAAGCGAAGGTTTCTCTCCCTTGCATCCCGCTAGAAGGGTATAATCATCGCCGGGATACCGGCATTCCGTTCCACACATGGATGTACAAAACACATTAGGGGACTCACGATCACGACGCCGGTGACACCCGTTTGCTCCACTTCTGCACGAACAGGCAAATAAGCCACACCTCCTATTTCCACTGCATACTTCTGTGCTGGGATAACCCATGCTATGTTCTCGCCGTCGCCTGGCTCACCAACGCCGTACACAGACACCCACGCGAGCAAAAAACACATGCAGATATGGCTGTGGTGCCATGAATTCAAAGTGAATCGTACAGCCCCACTTCGTGAATGGACTATTCGTTATTTAATAATGGCTTGGCGTGGTGAGAGTGTATTGTACATGGAGAATTCCTTAGCGCTACGCCGTAACATTGATCCGACTCCGCATAGTCTTCCAACCAATTGTTGGAGTTCTGTGTTCTGGCTGCCATCGATTTGCAACAAAAACTAAGAGAACGAGCAAGGCCCCTACAGTAAACACGACTCACGGTGCGCGAAACGATTCCTACTCGATATCTAGCACCCCGGTACTCCGTGCTCTCAAGAAACAAAGACACACGTGCGCCCAGGGCACGTACAACCGTTCATGTAAATATATGACTTGAAAACAGCTCAAATCCCGTCACCTCAGACAATCACTTTTGCTACTGTTGTTCCGGGATGTTTGCCGACGTCATCCAAGAACAGGCAGCAATTTAGTCCTCCGTCTCCCAAGGCATAAACTCGTACGACATTGCATCATCGGTGTTGGTGTCGTCGTCCTCCGCACACTCAGCCTCAGGGTCGAGACAGACGAAGAACTGGCAGAGGTGCTCGTTATCTGTCTCGCAGGTGCACTCGCAGCAGTCCCCGTCATCGTAGTCTGAGCAACAGGGAACAGGACGCAAAGAGATGTAAGATTAATACCTGCTACATAGGACGAAGGCACGTCAGATTTCCTGGTGCCTTCGGAACTGGGACATTGTAGGTGTCGCACCTGAGGTTCGAAGGACGCAGAATTTACTATAATTACTGCTTTGACATCGCTAGGCACAAAAGAGAGAGAGAGCATTGCCCGGTATTCGGTGGTGAGTACAATACTGCCAGTATTTTCAGTATTGCAGTACCTTTGGCCATAATATACTGTACTGCACGCTTTAGTACAGCTTTCGATACTGGAATAAAAATACTGCACGCTTTAGTACAGCTTTCGATACTGGAATAAAAATACTGCACTCTCCAGTACAGCTCTCGATACTGGAATATACTGTACTGGCAGCACGGCTCTCGGTACTGTACTGTACTGGACGTTTTAGTACGCAGTTAAATACTGGAATAAAAATACTGTACTGTACTAAACCTGCCCGTGAAGAAATCATCAAAAAAAGGTACTCACATAATCAGTTCAGAATCCCGGCCGCCCTCGTATTACACCATATATATGTAGTCTAAACCTTGCCCCGGTGCGGTTCTTCATGCCCAAAAAGGTGGACGTGCGGGAATCTCGGCCTTCGACTTTTCCGGGGAGTGAGGGAAAAGGCTGAGCATGATCTGTCGCACCAATCCATGCGATGGCGATGGACACGTGCTTGTCTCGTTGTTTTCCCGTGCTCAAGGCTAGCCCCCTGTAGCATATGGTCCGTTCGGGCAAATATTCACAATCTTGTTTTTCGCGATATCTTTCGAAAATAAACGATTTGGAAAGTGAAACAACTTTGGGCGTGACCGCGGCGTCGAGCTTCGACGATATCCGATGAGTTTTTGGTGATTGGGTGAAATGCGACATTTTTGACCAAAATGACCCGCGGAGCCCCCACCCCCACCCCCTCATGACCCCACGGAGCCCCCAAAGTACACCACGACCCCCCCTCAACCCCTCCCAACCCCTCCCAACCCCTCCCTTCTGCACGTATATGCCTTCAGAACATCATCAGATAAAAAACCGTTGTCAATCCATATTTACATTATTTACACGTTACATATGTACATTCATACATACAATACCGCCGTTTCCTTTCTACTCAACCCCTGGCTGGTGAAGGTGCTGCAAACAAAGCATGCAGCAATCACATCCGTTCTCTCTAAGCAAGTCCGATACCAAGAG